GGTGAAATTTAACACTGCAGTAGTGCTCTTCACCAATATGGCCCGATGCCTATGTTATTCAGAAGAATGGACTGATAAACTCTTTTGAAGTTTTTTTTATATTTTTGCCTCCCTTCCATTTAGTGATGATTAGATCACCTTGTTGTCTTTATGAATATGAATAATGAAGGTAATGATGGCTGTCCATTGTTTCATCTAAATTGACATGTACTCACAGGTTTGACTGAGTATTAATCAAAAACAAATTTCAAAAGGTAAAAAATGTATTATTCTTCAGGCAAATCATAAAAAATGGGTGCTGTGACTTAAAGGCAGGCAGTCCACCTCTATTAAAATCTCTAATGAGCAACAGCAAACTTGTTATTTTCTAAGGTTTAGGAGTATGATTCTCGCTTTGGGTGTGAGAGGTCCCGGATTAAAATCCCAGATGTGCCAGTGTCTGCTTTTCAACAAGATATTAGTCTCAACTCCGGTAGATTTAGTAGAAAATATTTCAGGAGAAAAATGTGGAAAAACAGCTGGTGAAAATGTACTCACCATAGACTTGGGGTGCAAGAGGTCCGAAGTTTAAATCCCAGCAGAGCCCAAGACATTTTGAATGAGATTGAAGGAGGATCAAACAGGTTAAGGAGAGCTGAAAAAAATCTGAGGAAGAAAAAGGTGATAACCATTGCAGTCCCTGATGTGTTTAGCTCCAGGCTCCAGAAGTCCTGTACAGACTAGCTGTGTGGGATCACAGAGCCAAACAGAAACTTCAAGCAGACAGTAGATGGCAGCATTGTACTTTATCAGCCCCTATTGTCTTCATCAATATATTTTTTTATTAAGGAAAATAACTTTCATATAAACATTGATTTCTGTGAATTTTTAACCCAGAAATCAGGCTTTTTCTATTTAAATATACAAATGAGTCAAATCATTCTCTGATTCCTTTATTCAGTCCTGAAGTCCATTCTCTGCAGCCAAAACATGTTTGTAGAACATTTTTAAAGATCTTACATGGAGTGTCCACGGCAAACTCTTAAACTGACATTCCTGACATTTAGAAAAACTCTCACTGCTTGTGATGCTCTGTCCAAACGCCGGACAACACCACCACCAACACCTGGGGTCCGTTTCCATTAATGCATTTTACTTACTGGACTTTTTCCCTTTCCTGTGGTCGTGTGCTTTCTCGTCCCGCTCCTCTCTCCTCTACATCACTTCCTACAGGTGTTCCTGGAGCTGCGGAGTCTGGATTTGTGGTTGAGAGTCTCCTGCTGCCCCTGTGTTCCTACTCTTCTACAATTACAAGTACTGTTCCTTGTCCTATTGCTATCATTACTTCTAGCATTATCATTAACATTACTATCAACATCTGTACCATTTTTCATCCAGTCTATGTGTTACTGTGTAGGCTGCCTCCACCTGCTCCCTCTGCTGTCTCTGTCTTTCTCTCCCTCTCTCTCTTTTGCCCTCTCTCTCTATCACCCCCAACCGGTTGAGGCAGATGGCCGCCCACCCTGAGCCATGGTTCTGCTCGAGGTTTCTGCCTCTTAAAAAGAAAGTTTTTCCTTGCCTGTGTCGCCTAGTGCTTGCTCTTGGTGGAAATTGTTGGGCTTCTGTTAATAACTTCAGAATGGGGTCTGACCAGTTCTGTTTGGAAAGTGCTGTGAAATAACTGTTGTTGTGACTTGGCACTATATAAATGAAATTGAATTGAAATTGAATTGAAAAATTAGATCAAGGGCTCTGCCGGCTTTGTGAGTAGGATGCGACTCATCTACTGCCAACCAGTTGTTGGTCAAAAGAGGTAATTTCTGTTAAGAAATCAGACAAGTTAGGGGAGTCAAGGTTGATATTCATATAATCAAGGATCATTGCTGGACAATCAACTTTATGAATGGAGGAGGGTAAGATGTCAAGTTCATCAAGAAAGTCACCATGTTGTGCAGGAGGGCTATATATGACAATCATGCAGATTTTGACTGGTGCAGTAACCAGGATGGCATGGTATTCAGCGTGGTGGAAGGGTTTGAGTGTCCTAATGATTCAAGGAGCTTTGTTGTACGGGGCTTCAAGCCCCTGGTAGGGTCACCCAAGGCAAACAGGTCCTGGTTGAGGGATCAGACGAAGCGCAGCCCAAAAGATCCCTTATTAAGAAAAACATAAGTGGATCTAGTGCGCCCTTGCCCGGACGCGGGTCACCGGGGCCCAGCCCTGGGGCCAGGCCCAGAGGTGGGGCACGTTGGCGAGCACCTGGTGACCGGGGTTTAGCCCATGGAGC